TACTTTCCTATTTGAAGTTTACCTGAGAAGACACATCCCTGCTCCACAATAGTTTAATATTGGCCTGGAAACCTCCTGTGCAGTAACCCCAAACAAGCCAAACCTGTGAAGGAAACTCATTTAGATGTTCACTTTCTTTTGAACAAACTGCCAAATTAAAAAGTCCCCTGCGGTGAAATCTAAATAACGGGAAACAGCCACTGTCTTCAAACATTTATTTCCCCAGAATGCCCTTCTAATATAAAGTTAACTTAATCTAGAAAATAAAAAAGGAGTCAACAAAAGGAAGGAAATTAATTTCCCATTCCGAGTGGAGGAACATAACTCTGACTCACCGTGAAGTTCCCCAGCCCATCAACAAACTACAAGAGCCCCAAATCAGAGTCCCAAGGCCGAGGCCAATCGTTTTCACAATTGGAACAACCATTATATTGCCTGTGGATGAAAAAAAGTAAGCATCATGTAAGCCACGTACAGGTAGTATCGTATACCCTCTTTGTGAAGCTTGTGACACATGTCAATGTCATCAATAAAGTCAACAGAGGAGAACTCAGTGCAAAAGGTTTTAGGCAATCCAAACTAGGAATACATTGGAATATTTATTTTCAAGTTTTATGCACAACTGAATGGAATGCTTGATCGGCGAAAGGCCAAATAAAATGCCTCTGAATTAATTTGCGAGGCTGTATTTGTAAGCCAGATGTACAGGGCGCAGCTCAGGGACTTAGCCTCGAAACCAAAGGGTTGCCGGTTCAAGTCCCGATCTGGCCGAATATATGGAGGGTTGACTGGTAGCTGGATAAGAGCCAGTTCACTGATGGGCACCGCCAAGTTCTCCTTACCCACCATACCCCTGACTGCTTTTGGGCACCAGAACATTGACAGCCCCGTCGCTCTGCTCTACTACCTCTCCATTAGTGCATTTCTATTGGGTGGGTGTGTGTGTGTGTGTGTGTGTGTGTGTGTGTGTGTGTGTGTGTGTGTGTGTGTGTGTGTGTGTGTGTTCATTTCCAGCTGTATGTCTGTAATAGTAAAATAACACTAGAGTAAAGAACTGCATTTCCCTTGAGGATAAATTAAAAAAAAGGAGATCTTAACTGCTCCCTGCAACCAAATAACCTGGGTCTATCTGGCCCTTAACGTTTGTCATCCCTCACAGCAACAGATTCAATGTCAGCATTTTAAATTGGACTTGTGAAATGAGATGGTCTGTTTCTACATTCATCCACACTTGAAGGTGACTTGCTCCAGTGATACAAATGCATTCAATCTCATGAAAAACATGACAAATGATTAAGGTTTGCTTTTACCTGTAGCCCAGATGACACCTCCAAGCATTGCAAAAGGATGGAATTTGGGCGAGTCAAGCATTATGTCTCCAGCCATGGTTGCAGCCCATATTGATACACTGTATACCCACTGAAAGAACATACCTGTAAACAAAACACTTATTGTCATATAGGCATGCAAAAAAACGCTTTTTGATTTTACTAGAAAAAGTCCTTCCCCATACGGAGATCTTTAAAAGAAAAGCAAGAACTGTATGCTTACCATCTCCAGTCTCTATTCTTTTAAGAGGAACATAGTTGCTTCCATACAACAGCACAGCAACCACATTTGCAGCTAATCCATAGGAAAAATAAGTCATATTGGTAATTTGAACCATTCCCAAGCTGCCTGCTGTTGCATTTTCACCACCTTCCGCAACTGGAAAAAGTTTAAGGTTGATTTTTGATTTCAGACAACATGCCATCCTCAGGCTCCTTAACATTAAATCACAAACAATTCACTCACCTTGTTCAGCAGCATTTTCCATACCGTTACAGCTCACCATCAACAATGTGGTAAAAAATAAAAGCAAATGGGGGAGTTTTGATTCAAGCATGTTAAAAGTAACGGTTGTTTTCTGTCGTGTTAAACTGCAAGAGACCGTGTGTGTGTGTGTGTGTCTGTGCAGTGAGGAGTAAAGCTCAGCCAGGTGCTGCCAATTACCGCAATCACTCAATCTAACTCACAGGCTGTGGACCCATGACCACAGGGAGTTAAATACTGCAGGACCGGTGGAGAAAAAGACATCCGAGATATTTCTTTATCTCATGAGAGCAGTTTTAATGTCATGTTTGTGGCTTTGTTAGAATATAAGATGTGCTGAATCGTAGAAAATGTTTTACTTAAATTATACATGTATTTATTATTTATTGAGAAGCCTGCAGACAGGATTTTAAACGAAACAACAAAAAGAGAAATCATATTTCCCTTCTGCTGGAATCACTGTACTGGTTACCAGCATCTTTTAGAAGTGATTTCATGGATTGAAGTCCTTTTATTGATCTACAAAGCCTTACAAAATATTGACCCTTCATTTATCATTGAGTGACAAGAACACTCAGGTCCTCCACTGCCTTTATTTAATAAGTACCTTAAGTGTGTTATGAGAAAATCTGGGAAGGCTGCTTTCTGTGGAACAGAAGCTTCCCCTTAAATCTGAAAATAGCCAAATCCCTTTGAATTTTTTAAAAATACAATAGTCATAACTTTTTTGATTTGCCTTTTCATTTGGGTTAGTTTTAGTGGTATCATGTATTATTGAAACCTTTTTTTAATTTAGTTTTTGTACCTTGCTTTTGGTCATTTTTGTTAATTGTCAAGGTTTTTCTGTACCTCAACTTGCTCTGTTAAGCATTTTGGGATGCGTGAAAGGTGCTATACAAATAAAGTTACTATTATTAATTTTAAAAAGGATCACAATATGTTTGTTCATGTTGGTGGGAAGTAACCAAGTATATTTACCCAAGCACTGTACTTGATTATTATAATCAGCTTTTTATTTACGTAACATTTCAAAGGAAACACAAATCTAGGCTGACATTATAGGCCACTCCATTACAATGGTATGATACCTTTAGTTGCTTTAGTTAAGGATCCAGATCAATGACACAACATTAACTGACATCAGTGGCGACTGGTCATTAGGGGCAGGTGGGGCACAGCCCCACCTAGTGTCAGCATAAAGTATTACAAATAATGATTACAAAAATGCAAAAAAAAAAAAAAAAAAAATATATAAAATATATTTTAAGATCATGTTTAATCATCTGATTCGTCTGTACATTGCTGTTTTAGTCTGTGTTCTTCTAATTAGTGTGTCTACAGTCACAGTGTGTGCCTATTGAGCTGTTTAGAGCCATGTGGGACAAAACCTGATTATGCCCCTTCCTCTCGCTGTGAAGTGAACGTTGACTGTAAAAACTTCACTGCGCATGCTCAGAGTATTTTGTAATGAAATGTGTGTGGCAAAAAAATAATGACCAGAGGGGCACGGAGCTACCATCCCCACCATACGTCATCTCAAATCATTCAGAGCTGATTGGCTGTAAGTACGTGTGCCGCGAAAAGTGTGGTGTGTGAAGAGGAGACGAGAGAGCTGCAGTGGCGCATCCTAAAACCAGGAAGTAAGCACAAAAAAGCAATGAGATTTCTCCAGAGGATTTTAGAAAATAGCTGGAAATAAGATCTGTGGGAAACGTACCTGTTAGATAAATGCACGTTTTGATTAGCCGGATAACATCCACATGTCTACCCTACTTTTATAATTTTTTTATCATAAATCTATGGATTAGATTTATGATAGACTTTTGAAACTACAAGAACATAAGGAGGACTTTTACAAAAAAGTAATAGAAATGTTTGTCCAGAAGGATAGGCAAATGGACTTCATCTTCAAATCAAGGTAAGACCGCCATTTTATTGAAAATGGGATCTTATTAAGAGAGAACAATTCAATATTTAAATGATAAAATTACATTTTTTGGGTATCCTTTTGTTGAACTGTCTGTTTAAAATTAATCGAAGCATCAGACAAAAAAAGCTTTTGAAAATAATATTATATTTTGGTTTAGGTCAAAATATAATATTTGTAAACCTGAAGAGTCAGTGCCAGTGCCTCACCAGCCATGAACCTCACTGCACGTCACTGCAGAAGCTTATATATAGACATCCAAGTTTTTTGTGCCCCACCACTTTTGTACATATAAAAACGCCACTGACTGACATTATATTATAGGTATATATCAAAACAAAGATATATCAAGCTAGTTGAGGTGAAGTTGACATTTGCAGCTTCAACATTATTTCTGTCCATTGAAATGTGAATAGACTGTTTTCTCTTGAAACATTGTATTTCTACACTGTGGTATAGTTGACTTTGAGTACAATGTGAGTCCTTCTTCTGAGGAAGACAGCACATCATCAGTTATCTACATGATCTACAATACAAGTCTATATAGGCCACAGCACAATAGCTCTATATTTAGCGGTTTTATTTTCGGCTTCAGGAAATCCTTTCCATGGGCTCCTGCGTCCAGCTCCTTCCACTGGAGGATATAGTGGTTTCCTGCTGCTAACTGTTCCACCTTTCACGTGCATATTCTGTTCAATTGTATTGTGTCTCCAATATGTGAATGTGCGCTCAGCCAATTAAAGATTAAGGAACTGGACCAGCAGGTGTCGCCTAAAACACGTGGATACAGGGCTATAATGGATCAAATGGTCTTGGAAAGAACTGGAACGTTTATATATAATTTTTTTTTTCATGAATTACATGTTTGCACAAACTGCTAGGATAGCTCTTGTATTCATATCCAGGGTGAACATGAATGGGATGATATCCAAAACATACATATGTAATTTTGTTGCTACTTTTTATAACCTGGTTATTTTGGCAGACCATTTCATAGTTACCAATTAACAGATATATAGTTTTTGTCCGCGGTAATTCAACGAAAAAACAAACTAAATAAATGATATCCAAGTATGATTTCTGTTCTTTGTATTCACCATTTTGGATTATAGCTATATCTGAAGGTATAAATACGTTAAAAAAAAGTGTTTGTGTCCTCATGTTGGGTCAGAGGGTGGTTTCCCAGCCCTGTCCATCCCACGCAGTTGTCTCCATGCATTATGTGGCCACAAATCCTCCTTTCCAAGATGAGTTTCGGAAGTTGTGCGCTCCTCCCTGGTTTGAGTTTGTCAAAAAAGACACTCAACCATAATAATATCATAAGTTATAATGGGGAAGCTTCGCTTTCACTGGCTGCTCTTCCCTTTCCTAAAACTGAGGAGCAGCTACCGGAGGTGCCCTCTTTCCAACAGGAGTTTAATCATTGCCAGCGTTTGTGTTATTTATTTGTTGTTGGTTGTTTCACAAGCTGGATACTCGAAGCAGCACCGGGATAGGAGGACTGATAAAGACAAGTACCGACACACCCGTGGATTGTATACTTTGGATAATAGTGATGCTCAATCAGACTATGTGGATTTTCAGACCGGTGCGAACTCTGTTGTCCCGACACGGTCAAACGTGGTCTACATAACGCTAAAGACTAAGCGACTGAAACCTGCTAATATTCGGGGGACAATCAGACCAAAACTGAGGAAAAAAGTGAAAAGGATTACGGAGGCTAACTCAGCTTTTACGCAGAACAAACGTGGCACTTTGTTGCGGGACGTGGGCCAAATTCAGCGAAACTTTCCACATAAGAATTTCTTGGGAAAAACCAAGGATGTTCATTATAAATTATTGGATATAATCCCTACACATCATACAGATTCACAGGCAGACTCTCACATTAGTTCTATCCGAATTTACAGTCAGAGGGCACCGCCATGGCTCAGCCCCCAGGACGTGAAAGCCATGCGATTTCTGGCGGATGCCAAAGTTTTGCGCATCAAAGAAGTTTCTCATGGGGATTATACGTCACTTTTAATATTTGAGGGCGAGACAAACGTTTCATTGGGCAACCAAAGAGACACACAAGGGAACAATGTGTGTGGAGGGCAGTGTGGAGTGATCAGCAGCCCCGCGGACACCACCGAGGTGTTCGCTTTCCATCTGGACAGGGTGCTGGGGCTCAATAGGACATTACCAGCTGTCAGCAGAAAGTTCAGCTTCTTACACGGTATGTCAACAGGAGAGGACAACGTTTATTCTATTCTGACCCAATCTGGATAACACTTGGTGTAGAGCACTGTTAAAACCAAGTTAATTCATGTGATTGCTTCATCTAACTATCTAACTGATCCTTTATGTGTGTCATCTCTAACTATAACCTCAGTCAAAGTTGCATTCTTTCTGTGTACGCACCTTTCAGTTCAACAACTCAAAACAGAACAAACACATTTCAAAATCCCCCTGCAGATAGAGTGTATGCCAATTTGTAATAGATGTATTGTCTGGGGATAAAGCCATTTGAAAAACAGACTTATCACACAAGCCTTTTAAATGTACAGTAAATGTCTTTAAATTAAATGTCAGTTAACTCATGTGTTATGAAGTTGAGGTCTAGTGGTGGAAAAGATGTGTGCTGAAGATTCATGTGCCATGTGCTTTTGTACCACACACTGAAACTTTGGCACTCAGCATGTGGGTCCACTCAGTCAGGACTATTTCCTTAGAGGCCATACTGAAAGCAGGGCCAGTACAGACAACAAGGTATCCACATATTTGAACCTAAGACAGGTCAGGGAAGGTATACATTCTAACTTCTGAAACATGTTGAGAATGTCAGCACTGAGCTCTTAGGGGCATATTTATAGCAGGCGACAGCAGTTGTCCAATTTTGTTTATTCTCCACAACTCTTTGATTCCATCTGTGAATATAACATCTGTGTCCGTCAACAGATCATGTTTCTTAGAGTCTCCACAGTTGGTTGTTTCGTGATTTCAAATGAATGATGAAAGTATATCAGAAAATGGATCCACAGTCCACTTTTGATCTGCTTCATTATACAGGGTAAAATGATGAGGTTTTGCGGTGCAGGTGTTTATGTGTTTACCACCGACAAAGCATTTGCATTGCTCAGTAAGCTTTTCCTCTGTAAAAATAGGCCCACAAAAACTCACTGAGACCAAACAGTTGCTGAAATCTAACCATATAATCCTTTTATCCTCACTCTGTAGATGGCCTGCCCGGTCCAGTGTTGTTATGGGATGCATCTCTCTACCCAGAAGGCCTTGCTGCAGGCAGGGCCACCGTGAGGATGACATGGGGGGAATACCAGAGTTCCCTGAAACAGAAGTGTTGGCATAAAAACATCAGCCCGAAGCCTGACTCCGGCTGCTCCACGGTGCATCACTATGAGTGGAGTAAACTGGCTCTGTTTGACTTCTTACTACAGGTAACACAAGCAATATAACATTTAAAAACTAAGACAATAATGACTCAAATATTTGAAAAGTCCACATGACTATTACATTACTGTACATTACATTACATTGCATTTAACTGACGCTTTTATCCAAAGTGACTTACAATAAGTGCATTCGATCAACAAGATACAAACTTGAAGAAAACAGAATCATATAAGTACATCAGGTTTCATAGAGCCAAAACATTTCAAGTGCTACTCAACTGGCTTTAGATAAGCCAGTCCTTTATTAGTATATAAATGCTTTGTTAGTAATTCTTTGTTAGTAATTCTATCGCTCGAAGTGGAGTCGAAAGAGATGAGTTTTCAGTCTGCGCCGGAAGATGTGCAAGCTTTCAATTGGGAGCTCATTCCACCATTTTGGAGCCAGGATAGCAAACCGACGTGTTTTTGCTGATGGGAACTTGGGTCCCCCTCGCAGTGCGGGTGCAGCGAGCCGTTTGGCCGATGCAGAGCGGAGTGCACGTGCTGGGGTGTACAGTTTAACCATGTCTTGGATGTAGGAAGGGCCAGATCCATTCGCAGCATGGTACGCAAGTACTATTGTCTTGAAGTGGATTCTAGCAATAACTGGAAGCCAGTGAAGTGAGCGGAGGAGCGGCGTGGTGTGGGAAAATGTTGGAAGGTTGAAGACCAGACAAGCCGCTGCATTTTGGATGAGCTGCAGAGGTCGACTATGAATAGCAAAAACATGTTTGCTTCCTTCTCTCCTTCGGTTTGCTTTCATGCAGTTGCAGCCTCTCTATGCTTCCAAAAATGCTTCATAAATGACATGCTGTAATTAAGTCTTGTTTCCTATGTGGAAAGCCTGGATCACTGATATTGCATTATTATCACTTATCCTGAGAATTATTTAAAATTCATTGCATGAACATTAAAGAGCAAAACTAGCAGAGTGAGTAAATGAAAAAAAATGACTTTCAAATAGATTGAATAACTTTATTACTATTAAGTCTGGCATTGAGATCATAGTGCCACTGCTTTGACTATTTATCTTTGTTCTTGATTCAAGTTCCTGATGAATCGATTTATTAACGGTAAAGTTAAATTTATACTGTGCAGTTAAGAGGAACAGACTTGGCACATAATAAATCTAATGAAAGACGCAAGTCATCTGAAAACAGTTAAGGTACATTGGTTTCTTTGATATAACAACTCTAACACATTTCATTTCATAGATATACTTTCTTATCCTTAAAATACCCTGACAGGCTGCTTACTCCTGAATACAGAGGCCAATGTTAAACTAAAATGTGCAACTGAGAAAATGTATCTCTAAAGTTAGTGTACCTTTATCTCAATTGTGTTTCTTTCTTGAACCTTAGACAAGCTGGTTTGATTTTTACATTACTAAATGACCAAAGGAGAAATAGCAGAAATATCATAACATTATTTAAGGTAGGGTAGGTAAGAATGGAGAAACCAGCTCGAGTGCGCTAGAATTTGAAAGTACGCAGCCGAAAAAAATCTGCCCCTTCCTTCAGACTTCCTTACAGAGCCCCTCCTCCAACACACACGAACGTGCACATGACCAATGAGGGCACGAGATAAGTCTGTGCACGAGATGGAAGGCTGACAGGCAGGTAGGCCATCCAGTTATTTTAGCCGGGCCGGCTCAGATGATTGGTCGTGCTTTTTACAGCGCTACGGCTTCCACAGATGACATTTTTTTATGTATTTATTGTCAAAGCATTTAATGTATTCATTGCTATCGGGATGTTAAGAGCATTCCATGGAATATAATGCTATAATGCTTCACTGGCTTACTTTGTCTCCCAATAACCAAACAACAAAACAAAAACCCTGTATTTTCATTATCTAAGACAGAAAGTGTTTAGAGTCCATAACAATTGAAAGATGCTGTATATGGGCCTCATTACATCTATGTTTAGGGGCTTGTTGATTGACAGATAAATATGTATTGTGGATAATCACACTGCATGTGTTGGCAGATGCTCATTGATTTAACAAGTCCCAAGTGAAACCAATGATTGACATCTGAGATGCTCCATCCTTGGTTTTACTTAGACTTTCATAGCATCTCCTGAGACTTCTGCCAATCAAATGGTTAAGAAGTTAATGATTGACAGATGGTTTGAAGCCTCCATTGGGATTATGGCTCACCTGTCCTTGTATAGGAAGCAGGAGTAACGTAGGAGGAAGTGCTGTCTGATCAAAAGTCATTGAGAAAAGCATCACAATAAACAACCTGCTGGATAGGTTTCTGTTTTCTATTAAAGGTGGGGTATAGGTAAGTTTGAGAAACCGGCTCGAGATACACTTTTTGTTATATTCCATGGAATGCTCTTAAAATCCCGAGAGCAATGAATATCTTAAGTGCTTTGACAAAAAATCCATTAAAAAATGTCATCTGTGGAAGCCGTAGTACTGTAAAAAGCACGACCAATCATTTTAGCCGGCCCGGCTAAAATAACTGGATGGCCTACCTGCCTGTCAGCCTTCCATCTGTGCACAAACTTATCTCGTGCCCTCATTGGTCATGTGCGCGATCGTGTGTGTTGGAGGAGGGGCTCTGTAAGGAAGTGGCCGATTTGTTCCGGCTGTGTATTTTCAAATTCTACGCACTCGAGCTGGTTTTTTTTTACCCCACCTTTAACCTTGTGAGATAATTTAAAATACTAGTAAGGGCATCTTTGGCTGTAAGGTAGATCGAAGTGTCGGTGGTTCGATTCCCAGTCCTCAGGCAAGATTTGTTATCCCAAGTTGTTCCTAATTGCACTGCCAACAGTGTGTGAGTGTGTGTAAATGTTAGTTGCTTCAAGTGGCATCTTGTATAGCAGCCTCGTTATGAATGTGTGTGAATGAGTGAATACTGACTTGTTTATGTGAAACACGCTTTGAGGGCCCGTAGAGATTTGAAAAGCGCTATGTAAATGCAGTTTATCAATCATTTACCATGCAAATAAATATATTTATGGAAAGAAGTGCTATAGAAAGAGGACACAAATGTATGAATCAAGTCCCACCTTGAGCTACATGTTATTTTCATTTATCAGATTCACAACCGTCTTGATAAGAGCTGCTGTGGGTTCAGGCCCAGACAGGAGGATGTGTGTGTGGAGCTGGGCCTCGATGCTGAGTGTGGGAACCAGAAACACATACAGCTGACAAACATCATCCACAGGGGACACGACCCCAGACACCTGGTGTTCACCAACAACAAAGGCTTCTTCGACCGCAATGAGGACAACCTGGACTTCAGGCTCCTGGAAGGAATCAAAGAGTAAGTTTGGATCACAAAAACAGTGATAAATACTGATATTGGTTTGATTATTATATAGAAATATATTCAATTTCACTCAGAATGTGTTGTTTCTTAAGATATCAGAAAGAACATGATAACTTAAATAGAAAAATAACAACTTTTGTCAGATGTATCAATCTTCTATTTCAATTGATAGGTAGTTAATTTACAAATGTTAAAAGACTAATAATGATCAGATTTTATAATCTGAAAGGAATGTGTTTAATATCTCCAGGCCTGTTCAGAAACTCAATTTAATATTTTCGGCACAATAATCTGCAAACACAAAGCACAAAGTGAATTGTACAAACACCACAATGATATTTTAAACTTTCAAATCCTGTTTTTAATTTAAAATGTAAAACTGACTCACCGAATCACAAATGGCTCAGCAAAGTAAATATGTATTTTTGGCCTGAATCTGAGGGGGCTTAATAATGGTTTTTCCTTTATGGATCTATAATTATCTGCTTGAAAACCTAAATGTAGGTAACAGCCAGTCCAACGTCTCCCAGTCATCTATAGTCTACATTTGTAAAGCTTCAGTCCCTCTTTTTTTTGTCATTTTAGCTGTACAAACATTCGTTGGGCGAACTCTTCTTGCCGACAATAACATAATCCTCCCATAACACAGGAATGCAAGGCACAAATCCATCTCTGTATCAAGTAACAGCACTTTAGTTCATTATCACCAGTCCACCACTCATAGTAAGTACCCTACACAGGTCAGCTCCAAGCCAGTTGCTGCTTCACATGTTATACAATCTCATTTTCAATCTCTGCAGATACTTCATTTAGGAGTGGAGCCTTTTACTGAGCCTATTTGCAAGATGTGCGAATAGCATACAAATTCCAGAACTAAGAATCTGTTGCTACTAGCAACACCCACAGGAAGATTGCCAATATCACAACGACTTTTGATCATTTCCAGTATTTAGAAAAACATGAAGGATTACTGTTTCAAGAGATACATCTGTGTGGATTTTTAACGTCTCTTTCCAAAACTTTGCTACCACACGCTGCTCGTTGGCGGACATTTGTGGGCGCTAGCTAGCTAACATGACTCGTCACTAAAAGTTAGTGTACCTTTGTCTCAATTGTGTTTCTTTCTTGAACCATAGAAAAGCTGGTTTGATTTTTACATTACTAAATTACCAAACGAGAAATAGCAGAAATATCATAACATTATTAAGTAATTAATTCATAACCAAATGCTTAAGTAATTGAAAACAACCATGGCTTTAATAAAAAAAATACAAAATGAGCATTTTGACGTTTAAACATTTTTAAAGTTTTTTTTCGTGCATATTATGTGTGTTTTTCCACGACACTAGACATTAGCTTATAGGTTAAAACATTGGCCTTAAATGCACTTATAATATGCTTCATACTCAATGCTCCTGTGGATACAGCTCCCAGATTGCCATTCGGCAGTAGCAGTTTGGCTTACTAATAATGATGATTTAACCTAGATATCATTTAAGATACAAGCTTCCTTTGAGCATAGATAAAGACTAAAGGGGTCACATCTGGTTGTTGTACGCTAGCTAGCTAACATGACTCGTCGCTAGCAATAGGCTATTCATTTCAAAATATTCCTCCCCCAAACTCAGGCAAACTCCTGTCCTTAGACTTTATCGGAGACGTTCTTACCTGCTGAATTGCTCTGCACATACAAGCATACTGTAGAGAAGAAAGATGGCATTTAGTTAGGAGTCATAAAGTTGTTCTTATTTTATCAACTGTCTTTTTTCCACGTGTTCTTCCCCTTTAGCTTACTGTATATTGTTTTCTGCACTTTTGCCTCTCGTTAAAGTTGTCTTCTTAACATTGCAACTGGTTTATTTTAAGATAAAGTTGCACACATTTGCACTACCATGTTGATTTTTATCTTTTATGAGCGTGTTTGTATAGGCACTTTGATTAATAAAAACAGTCTAGCCTACTTAAGCATCACCACAGAACTAATCAGATTATTTTCTGCTCCCAGCCAAGAGAAGCTCTGCCTCTGAGATATCTGAAACTCTAATTGAATTGAACTCTTCCTGACTCACTTTCTGTCTTTCTAGGCTCCCAGAGTCGGCGGTGTCTGTGCTGCAGAGCAAGAGGTTGAGGGAGAAGCTCCTTCAGTCTCTGTTTCTTGATGAGACATACTGGGAGAGCCAGGGAGGCCGGCAGGGCATCGACAAGCTGATCGATGTAATTGAGAGGCGGGCCAAGGTCCTCCTCACTTACATCAACGCACATGGGATCAAAGTCATAACAATGAATGTGTGATGAGGGTCACTTCAGTCTAGTGGCCAAATGAATGCGGCACATAATAACGACTTGAACACTGTGACTTCACTGGGTTCACAGAATATCCTCTTACCAGACACTGAAATGGTTTCCACTTACATTCTTTTAAGTACCTTTGAAAAACACGAGTTAAAGGTAAGTTTGAGAAACCGGCTCGAGATACACTTTTTGTTATATTCCATGGAATGCTCTTAACATCCCGATAGCAATGAATATCTTAAGTGCTTTGACAAAACATCCATAAAAAAATGTCATCTGTGGAAGCCGTAGTACTGTAAAAAGCACGACCAATCATCTGAGCCGGCCCGGCTAAAATAACTGGATGGCCTACCTGCCTGTCAGCATTCCATCTGTGCACAAACTTATCTCGTGCCCTCATTGGTCATGTGCGCATTCGTGTGTGTTGGAGGAGGGGCTCTGTAAGGAAGTGGCAGATTTTCTCCGGTTGTGTATTTTCAAATTCTAGCGATCTCGAGCCGGTTTCTCAAACTTACCTACCCCACCTTTAATGTTTAAAATTGATTCTTTATTATCCACTTTAATATAAGAGCGTAAAAGCATAATGGTTTCAACCTCAGCAGACCCTTTTTCTCAGGACCATATCAATTTGCCGTTAAATATTGGATTATTTACAGGTTTTATCAATATGTTTTGGAAAAATGACCATTGACTCATATCGCTAGTGAAGGAATTGTTATAAATTCAGACTTTTCTTTCCAAATAGCATATGTTGTGTTGTTGATAACTTCTGAACAGAAATCCATTCAAGTAATTTGCATTTAGGAAACCTATCAAATTTCTTAACTAAGATAGGCTTCTATTTCCCTAACCATCATTCAATATGATCCTAGCGTCTTGTGTTTCACTACCGGTTATTTTAAAGTCTTTGTTTCCCTCTCACCTGGAGCCAAGAACAATTATGTCATTATGTACAGAGCATAGTGCAGTCATAATCTTTGCTTTCCCCCAGAGGCCTTTAAGTAGGCTTAGAGTAATTTGCATTTTGTATGAATGAACTGAACTAAATTATATATTATTTTCTTGCAGGAATTGCGATGTTGATTAAGCCTCTTATCGTATAGCTAACAAGCTACAACCCTAATCCAGTAATTGATTGGGGTTTTTCACTGAAGAAAGATTGCCATTTTAATGAGTTATTCAATGTTGTGTACAGTCTTAATGTAAACACACCAATACAGCAACACCCATCATAAAGATTGGACATTGGAAACTTAGCATTGACTGTTCTCGGAAGAACTTTAAGAGAAGTCGAATGGTTTTACTTTTTTATATGCACTATTATTTTCCTTTTAAAAACAAAAACAATTTTCACTGTATTTATTTATTAATTGTCGAAGATGTTCGAGCTCCAGATGGTCAATGAATGGATTTCTTTGTAATACATTTGCTTTGAATAATAAAATCATTTTTGGAGAAAAACAAGCACACTTTGATTGTCATCCATCATGAGTTTTGGCCTTCCATTTTGTTCAGCTATATTGAATTTTAGCGTTGAATATGGCAGCATGTGATTTAAATTAATGTTTGAATCACAGACAGGCCTGCAATTTTATTTAAATCTCTTTTATCGTGATATATAAAACATTGACTCATAATTGTCCTACATCGGGAAGCCACCATTAAAAAGTTAACTTAAAAAATGCATTATGAAATATATGTTCTCACGTCTATGCAGAATGTGTCAAAGCATGGTCAGAAATAGTCTGTGGCTCTGAAATCTGAGCCAGAGCGTGGTGTCTACTTCTCCTGCAGTCGTAAACAGCGTGCTTTGGGCTCTCAGAGCTGGAGTCGATGGGGCTTTGTGGGTTATTCTCTCGTGTCCGTGCCGGGCATGTTGTTTTAACCTCTCGTCACCCGCATTAGTGCGTCAGTGGGGTCCATGCCTCTGTGTGTTTGTGTTAGAAAGACCCTTATAGAGTGCTCTGCAGCGGAACTTACTTTCATATTCTCACACAATAACATACACACGGAAAATAGGAGACTTTTGACTTTTTAGCAATAATATGTAAAGACCATACACAAACACATAGACAAGCATCATAACAGTTTCCCCTATGTCCATACTTTTAGGAAGTGAAATGTGATGTCTAAAACATTGTGTCGTGTTCTGCAAGTCAAATGCTTCAACCCAAACATGCCTAAGAAGCAGCTACTTAGTCAGTCAACTCAGGCAATCTCAGCTAAGCGCTAGCCTTCACAAATGAAAAGCTTTTTCCTACTATATTGCATATGGATGAAGTGAAGACTGGTCCTTTTTCAGCGAGATACATTATAGATGCATTATCGATCGGAAATCCATAAAATTTGAATATATGGAAGTCTCTCCCCATTTATGGAGAAGCAGCTGATTTTCAGACTACTGCAAAGCTGGCAGTCCAAAACCGAAAGCTTTTCTGCCATTTTTGCATGAAAATTACTCAATCAATTTTCAAAAAAAATGTTATTTTGCACTTCATACAATAGTCAATTACTTGTTGCAACTCATTGTGTTACAGTATATTGAGGGTAGAAGGCATCTGTGAGATTTGGGTAAGTGAAAGTCAGAATCTAAAATTTGTACTGAAGAACAGCACAAAAAATAGACTTATTTGCTTCCTTGCAGCGAGTTCGATGATAAGATTGATGTCCCCCTTATCTCTGTATGGTTAATATAGAGCTGTAGCCAGCAGCTGGTTAGCTTTGCTCAGCATATAGCCATAGCATTAAGGGGAAACAGCTAGCTTGGCTCTGCCCAAAGGTAACAAAATCTGCCCAGAAGTAAATCTAAAGCTCATTCATTCACAGGTTAAATCTCTTTGGTTTCATCTGTACAAAAACAGAAGTATAACAATTACAATTTGCACTGGGCTGTGGGGTTGTGTGTCGAACCCTTTTATGGGGCTGGAACCAGTTGCCAGGCAACAGTTGGAGACGTCAGGAAGCTTCTAGCTTTTGTAGAATAGACAAAATGCTATCCACTCATGCAGGGAGTATAATAACGATGTGCTATGCTCATTATCAGCTACATACAGAACACTTTGGATTCACCCTGCTTATTCTGTAAAGTGCTAAATCCCATTGAAAACAAATAAACGGCACTTGATCTTGAACAAACAAATGAACAGTTAAATATAAATTGAAAGTTTGAAAAGAGCAAAACATTTGTTACCTTGAGGCTTACATGTATGTGCCTTTTGGGAAAATGCAGTTTTTGCAAATTGTATGTCCTCAGGCATGTCATTAAAATGTAAATACCCTGAAGAGACACTTCTGTTAAGCAGGGTTTAGCTTCAGCTCTGTGAGACATAAGCTGGTAATTTGTGCTTACGTTTTCAAAACAACTTCACAAGGTTTAGCTTCAGGAATGGTTTTTAAACATATATATTAATTACAATTTTTTTTTTATGTATTCTATTTTTGTTCACATTGAGGATTTCTCACTGTTAGAAAAATTGCACTCGTCACCGGCTTGGTCTTCAATATCAGGATACATGTATGAATGGAAGTAGTCATCACACACAGAGCTGCGTGGGACAAATATAATTCCCCGAACAGTTTCCTTGACATGCCTTATATACAAGAGAGGCTGTTATAATCAACAATATGGAGGAATACTGGTTCAAAGCAGTATTCTGGCATTAGTTCAGATTAGCCTGCGTAAGCAATAAACATGACAGTCATATGCTGTCTCTCTAGGGGCTGTGTTATCACATTAATCGTAGGAACATAGCTATCATAACTTCAACACAGTGTCTCATGAGCGTCATCCATGTAGTCATACATCCGGTTACGTACACAGTTACAGTTAGGCCTTTGTTATCATGTGCTACTCTGATATTAGAAGAGTACATTCAGTATTTTTCCAACACTCTCTTACACTCTCTGCTTTACTTTTGTTCTCTTTCACACCAACAATTTAACACATTTTGTATTTGTGTTTCTTGAGAGTGTATCACTTGCGAAAATATTTAGATTTTCACACTACATGATGAGAATAGTTTGAGACAGTTCATGTTAGCTGCGGCTTGGCCAGACTCCAAACATCATCCAAACAGAGGAGTACTTTATTCTCATGACCTCAACTGGGCGCTGTTAATCACTCTGGTTTACCATGATGTCACTTTTCCCATTCACTGCCCTCCAGAGTTTGCCACTGACCTCCATGAACCCTGTCTAAAAACATGTGCCATGTAGCAGTACTGGTCAGAGTAATATATATATTTTGACATTTATTCATCCAGGCTCTGAACTTGTGCAGAACTTGAGACACAGGCAATATCTTGATATGTCACTTCAGTGGAGAACATAAAACAGGAAGTAAAGACAGTACACACAGGATACTCTACTTGCTTTTGCAAAAGTGACAAGTTAAAAAAACGACATTGGTATCAATATGTATCTGTTTACAGTAAATACCCAGGGGGATTGCTCCTTTGTCACTTTTCAATTTTTTATAAACAAGCTTAATTAGTGTAAAAACAATGCACTCTGCGACTTCATTTCCATTAAAATTACCCCCCAAAAACTCCCATTGTGAATCAATTTATTTGGATTGTGATTTAGTGACGGTTGGGGGCAACTAAGCCCCCTACTGGCTGTAAATTGAGTATCACTGGGACACACCATGTAGCTAAATCATGATGCTTCGAGGGATTTACTGCTCTTTTGAACACACTTTGGCTTATCTCAACACATTGGACTGAAAACAGGGGGAACCTGTTAGCTTTGCTCTGCTGAAAGATAAACAAAATCCCCCTACAAGCACCTTTAACACTCCCACTTTGACACACTATATGTTCACAAAAGCTTCAAAGTAAAAGCAATTTTGTGATGCCATGTGCAAAGCGAGCTATTTCCCCCATGCTAAGGCTGCTGACAGATAAGAGAGAACCTTCTCATCAAACTCTTGTCAAAAAATGTTTTTCTCCAAAATGTCAAACTATTTCCTTAACATGTGCCAACTTCTGTTAGTGGACTCACACTGACACAACCTATATATATATATATATATATAAAAGAAAAACACTGATAAGATATGTTTGCTTTGACATTTTGTGCCGATAGCAGCTTTAATATTTATTTGACTGTTTGCTGTTTTTAAAAGGCCTTTATATATCTATTGTACCATTTAGTCTTGAAGCACTTGAAAGATTATACTGCCTTCACTGCCAAGATTCTCCAGGAGTGTTTCAACAACA